GGGTGGCGGGGCCGGGTTTTGCTGGGGGCACAGGGCAGTGGCACGGGGAGTGGGCTACAGGCAGGGCTGCAGCCACTCCAGAATTCACTGTAGCAGGGCATGGAACTGGGGCAGGGCATGGAACTGAGCCATGAGGGGAGTGGCTCCTGCAGCTGTATGCAACCTGGGAGGGCACGGAGGGCATGTGCCCCTGAACCTGCACATGGGGCAGGGTGGGCTGCTCCTGCAGGCTGGGGCTGGTGCCAGGCTGTTACCGGCCAGGGCTGGGCCAGGCTGTGCTTGAGGCAGGTGGCAGTGGTGCTGGAAGGGGGTGTTAGGGGGTGCTATGGCAAATTCTGGAGTGGCTGCATCCCTGCCTGTAGCCCCTTCTCTGTGCCACTGCTGCATGCCCAAAGTGCAGCCTAGCCAAGCCACCGCCAGTAAGACCCTGGTGCATCACCCCGGCTGGACAGCCCCAACCCCAGCCCCACTCCCCCCTCCACTGCTGGGGCCTCAATCTGCCCCCTAAGCCCCCAGGCCCCTTCCCTCACAACACACTTACCAGCCGAACCCAGCTGGTCACCTGGCTGCCTGTGTGCTGCACTGCAGCTGCGCACATGCAGGTGGCATTTATTGGCCACATCAGGTCTGCATACCCCCTACAACCTTTTTAAGTACCCCTAGGGGTATGCGTACCCCCAGTTGACAACCACTGCTATAGCAATGTTCTTATTTTAAATGGGAATGGAAACACTTACTGTCAATAAATATAAACCATTTACTGTTGCTGTGCAGTTTGCACTGATAGCCTATAAGCATATCCCTTTAGTTACAAGAAAATCTATCTCTTTATGCTTTTGCTGTGTTGCAGGTTACTTGATTTTTCATCTTTAATATCTTTAACCCCCTGAATTCTTAAATTGATGTCTGTTGTTATTTATTGTATACCCTATTATTTTATAGGTTTTATAGTTGTTAATATTTGTTCCTTTGATGCAAAAAATCAAGATGTAGATTGGAATGTTACCATTTCTGCATGGAGGTAGTTAAACTCCTGCACTTTGTTTTGGTTTTAAACTTTTTCAAAGGTGACTGCATACTGTAGCATAGCAAAATATTTATATGTTCATTCAAACAATCCTGCAAACCCAGATCATTCTGCAAATAACTCTGAAAAATAAAAGCTGGAAACTCAAAGGCTTCAGGTTCATTCTTCTTGGCTTATATGATCATGGATATCAGAAAATGTATATCAAGCCTCCAGGAACTGATGTAAGACCCTGAATAGTTTTTACCACTGAAGGAGGAATTTTCGGTAACTTCTGTCACTGGCCTTCCTGCAAGGTTTGAAAGTAAGATGCTGCATTGCGAATGTGGAGGAAGGACCCTATTTTCTTTTGGTCATTGCATGAATGAAGACCAAGTAATCAAAGGAATTATTATTCATCCTGGACAAATTAGCAAGTAGAATGAACATAAAGATAGTGTTTAAGTAAGTTATTTAAAACCAGCTGTGTGTTTTCAGGGTGATGTTGAGATTTAAATGGAATCAATTAACCTATGAATAGCAGCATCAGTATGGTGAATTAGAAATACACATCACACTTTTTTGGTGTTATTTCATTACAATTTTGTGCAGGCTGTTTTAGCTGAAGAGCAATATTTGCAAAGCTAATGCTACAGCCATAAAGATCAACAAGACTGTTTAAAAAATAAAAAAGAGTTAAAACCATGGAAAACAAAACTATCATTTCCACATCTCTTGCTGACTTTGTACAATTTAAAATATATTGTTCTCTTTCAGGTGGAAAACTGTGTCCTCCTAGTCGAGCCCTGCAGGAATATCGCTTCTGTAATGATCACCCTTGCACACAATTCTATTGGGAAGCTTCTCCGTGGGGTCCTTGTTCTGAAGACACTTTGGTAACTGCCCTCAATGCCACCATTAGCTGGAATGGAGAAGCTACTTGTGGAGTGGGTATACAGACAAGGAAGGTCCTTTGCATGAAGAATAGTTCTGGCCAGGTTATGAATAAAAGGTATTAAGACAGATTCTTGCAAATGCAGGTTTGCCTTGAGAGATTATTTCTAGTTAGAACACATTAAAATGTAGAAAGAAATGTGTGTTAGGAAAACTGCAGTATGAAAATATTTTTATTCCTACCTTAAGAGAAAGATCCTACTATATAACAAAATCAATTAGCCAGACCCATTTTATTTGTATGTCTGAAAGTGGATCTCTTCGATGGCTGAGACATTTTCCTCTGAATGCTCCTTTTCACGCTTTTTGCAACCATTTTTGCTACAAGGCAGTTGCGATGAAAGTATAACTTGGAACTGAACAAAACAGTGTATCAACATATTTTTAACAAGGCTCCCTTAAAAGTGAAATAATAAATATTGCTGGTATTATGTTTGCACTTTAAAGAGGTAGGACCACTTGACATACAAAATACATAATTCTGTTGATTTATGTTGCTATTTCAGTGAATGCGATAAAACCAATTATTTGGTACTGTGCCTATCCTGATCCTGAGCTTTTAGTTTGCTTGCTAACTAAGGAAAATGAGTTGCACAGATGTTTTCCCTAATATCAAAAAATAAAGACCTTGCTAATTACTTTTTGCACTGTTAATGAGTCTAGAGACTTACAACCTAGTTTCATTTCTTATTGTATCTCTCAAAACAGTCCTGCTAAATATGAGCAGACTGTGTTGACTTCTATAAAGTTAATTAAGATTCTTAAGGTTAATGAGATTGAGCAAAGGAACAAATGCTTAGTGTCCATTGTTATGCTGGAAATTTATCATTGACTTACATCATTTGTAATATGATATAGAGTGTAAAGTAGTTGTATGCCCATTTGTGATCTAAAGTAGTCTCGGGGGAAATGGAACTGAAATAAGAAAGCAAATATGCAGGTAGTATGTGCAGGAGAATAGGTTTTGGACTAGAGATACATCTTGGAGAAAAAAAAAACATGGATTATCTTGTGGGAAATTATTGGCTGCATCTTCAGAACTCAGTGCAAATGTTTCTTTGTAGAATGATTACATAGGTGAGACAGTGTTATATTTGTGTAGTGTAATGGGATGGATTATATTAGTAACATAAAGGCTATTGAACCATTAAAAGGGAATCCTACAGGGATGATGTTCGGTTTTTTTATTGTGCTTTTAAGTTTTTTTTAGTGGCAAATGTCAAAGAAAAGTAAAAAACAACAAAACAAAACTCTGGAGCTCAGTGAAGTTACTGAAAAGCAGTTTCTGAATTTAATGATAAGCTTTCAGTATTTCAATAAAATAGTAATTTCTGGATTTCCTAAAAAGAATAAACAATGTTTAAAAGAAATGACACTAGAGCTCTAGAATTGCAGGATGAAAAGCAGGAGTTCTTTCTCTGACTGACTGACCACGGCAGCGTAACCAGAGCTGGGGCGTGACGCATCAGTAATTTTTTTAAATATGAAGAGAATGGTTATTTCTTAAGCAGCCTGTCTATCTGAAAATTAAATGAGATTAGGAAGGGCTGACCTCTGAGACATCTGAGGTTCCTTGAACAGAGAATTCCCCTTTCCCCTCTTTCCCATGATTAAAATGTGGATCTTTCTACATGTGATCTTTTTATTAAATGCATGTTTCATTTTTTTAGGTAGGATTTTGAATTTGAATTCAAATCACAAAGATCTTTTTACTATAGGATACTGGAGAAAATATTAGACCCCTGTTCAAATAAAGATAAAGGTCCAGATCTTGGGCTGTGCCTGAAGAACCCTCAGGGCAGTTTAGGAATGGCAATTGCAAAAGCAGTTTTAAGGCACTTTTATACCTTCTTAATTGCTGAAGTGGGGTCAAGCTGTGTCATCCCAGAGGCATGAATTAGGGTAGTGTGAGGGCTGTTGCAGTCAGCAGTTACTGATCTAGAAAGAAGTCCTACTCCTAACCACGTAGACATCCCTTTAAATTCCTTAATAATAAATATAGCAGTTGTGATCTATGGTGCTTTTTCTTTCCTGCATTATATTGAAAGTTGCATGTAGTTTGTAGAGAGAGGTAGTTTGTTTATTTACTGTGTTCATAGTCATTGGGCCAGATTTTAGTGCTTTTTTCACCTTTGCAACATCACTAAAATGAATTGAGTTTCAAGCAAATAGGAAGAAAAACTGGCCCACGCTGAACAAAAATGAAATTAGAACCAAACTAAAAGCTATCTTGCTATTCTCTTTGCCTTGTAGTATGGAGTTCAGCTCCAGCTATGTGACTCTTTATTGTTTTGCTTAGCTGATTGCTTTCCTGAATATTTTCTTTCAAGGACACTTATGTGTTGTATTTACAATTGCATTAATAGGTGTCCAGAGTCCATCAGACCTGAAACAGTGCGTCCATGTTTGCTCCCATGCAAGAAAGATTGTGTTGTTACTCCTTTCAGTGAGTGGACACAGTGCCCTACAACATGTCAACATGGTAAGCTGCTTAAAAAGAGGATAAATGCGATGTAAAATGAATGCATCAAACTGAATCTCATCCACAATGGATTCCAACATAAATCATACTTCACATGTCTCTGTGTAACTCAAAGGCTGTGTTACCTTAAATAGATACACCAGTAAGAAAGCAAAAAGGTGTGTTGTCTCCAGATTTTATGCAGGGTTAGATAAGGAATTGTCACTGTAGGAAAATTTCTAATTTTTATTAACCTGCAGATTAGTGGGGGGGTTCAGAGTGCTGCTTATGAATTGTTAAAATAACTCGTCGTTTGCTGCAAATGATTTTATTCTCAGAAAATCAAATATTAGAGTTTCTGATTTGTGTTAAATTCAGGTAAATCTGATTTAACCAAAGCCCTAATTAACCTAAGCAGTTACAGTCCCCATTTTTTCATACCTAGTACTCGCCCCTAAAATGCAGTCTTCCAACTTTTTTGTTAGACTCACCTCTTCACCTGCGACCATATATATTGTACCTGTGGAAGGAGAAGATTCTCAATTGTGACCCAGGGATTCAGGCACCCAAGACCAAATGAGGACACCTGGAAATCTCCCCCTGTGTTTACATGGGCAGTGATTATACCAGGGTCTGGTTATTGCTTCAGCAGAAGTGCTTGGCATAGCACTAATAGGCAGGGAATTGCCATTCTCAATTATGGTCTTGGTGTTTTCTACTACGGTTTCTGGGAGGGTATGAAGGGAGGGATCCCAACTCCAATGTGCAGTGCTTCCAGAAATTAAGAAACAGACAATTCAGAGTAAAATTAGAAAAAAATCCTAACACCATCTGCTTAGAATGATAATTTTTTTCCAAGTGAAATGGTGGAGCCCTAGTAAATCTGAAACAGGAAAAAGCAGTAGAATCCCTGCTAATAGAGGTGTGGACTAAATGATTCAAGGTAAAATTCAGCTCACTTTACATGACTGTCTTCTCTGAAAGCAAGAATTTTTAACAGTAAAACTCCCACTAACAGTTGCTTCTGGGTTTTGGAATGCCATTGCAGAGTCTCGAGGCTGGTTGGGGTTTATGAAGGAAAGCTGGGCAGGAGCAAGGATCCTGACTAAAGTATGATGCTGGATGTGGAGTACAGTTACTTATTTTTCTCAATACTTCAGGGAGTAATGGGAGGAGAGAGGAACCTGTCATAAAACCTCAAGATTAAACTGGAGAGTCTTCCCTGTTTGCAATGAGGGTCGTGAATTTTTGGCCCTAAAAGGGTCTGCTTTCATCAGGGAGTGACGAGGGACAGTCACTGGAAGAATCCAGTTGACATTTGAGGACAGAGGTTCTTGTGTTCTCAAGAGCAGTTTCTGGCTGTGCTACAACTGATCCTGCAGCTGAGTTGCTGGCACTGAATTAAGTCCTGGCTGATGACAGCAGAGGCTGCTACCGGCATTTAGGGAAGGGGCACGGGATAAGGAATTGATATCGAAGCAGAGAGGCTCAGAGGAGGGAGATGGGCAAGGGTAATGCCCTGGTAGGGA